AGATAGTGGAAATTACCAAGAACAGAAGAGAAGCCAAAGCAAGAAAGACAAATATCTCATGAAGGAACTCAATAAAGATTTTCAAGGAGCTGTTAGAAAAGACAAGAAGCAGCATTACATTGGCATCTGTAAAGACATCAAAGATGGAAACAGATGGAAAAGGTGTTCTCACTGAGAAGGAATTCTCACTCAAGACACAAATGACCAGCCTCAAATTATTCTATTTTGGACACTTTATGCAGAGGCCCAGCTCTCTTGATATGGCCATAATGCTGGGAAAGATGGAAAGGAAAGAAAAGAAGAGAACAACTAATAGCATGGTGGATGTACTTGATTACAGCTGTGGTGGATGCACTATGGGAAAACCTGAAGCCAGGCTGGGACAGATAACCTTTAAAAAGGTCTATCTATGTGGTCACTAAGAGTCAATACCAACTTGATGGTACATAATCAACCAATCCTTCTAATGAACTAGGTAACAGTGAGGTCCTGCACTTGTGTGAGGTCTGAAGCATTTTATCCTAATCATGCTTAAAACATGCACAGCCTTTATCTCCAAACCACCCTTTCCAATCTCCAGATGAACTTCAACTGCAACTCTCATAATTAGGAAGAAGTAACTGGGAAATATGGGAACTGCCATATTGGAATGGCGCTGTACGCTGCCAGCACCGTTCCCATAACTCAGATAGGGATCTTTCTTAACAGTATGAACAGATGCCTGAGATACTTGCACGCCACTGAATTATGACAGAATACGGTAACATAGGGCTCAAAAAATACACTCCATGTATAAATACGACATTGTACAAGTGTCACCATAGGTGACAAACTTAGCTGACCTTGGCTGAACTCCAACAAGCTGAGCAAGGAAAGACTCATTAGTGCTGGTATAGGAGATTAATAGGAAATCCTGGGTCTGGGAAGTTGGAAAAATATTCACCCCAAAGGAAGCAAGAGCAAACCATTTTTCTATTGTCACTCTCTCTCAGCTCAACCCACCTCACAGGGTTGTTGTTGTGGGGAAAATAGGAGGCAGGAGTATTAGGTATGTTTGCCACCTTGAGTTGACCAAAATATGTGAAAAGGTGGGATAAAAATGATGATGATGACGACGACGATAATTATTATTCCAAGAAAACTCATGGATGTACCAATTTTAGAGTCTGTTAACTTCTGTTAAAATAATAATTGTAGTGTGATTAACTACAAAGGCTACTTTTCTATCTCATTTTTAAAATCATGTATTTATGACTGCTTCCGGCTTCGAGCAAAATATCAAATAGCATCTCCACCTACCCACTCAACTCAAGGTGCATGATACCCAAAGCTGCTGCTGCTTCCTCTAACCTGACTTTTATCTGGGAACTCAAACTAGCAAACCTGGCACTCCCTTCAAATTTTCCCACAACAGCAACACTGTGGGTTAGGTTGTACTCAGAAGCAGTAACTGGCTCAAGGTCATCCAGTGAGCCTCCATGTTTAAGGACAGTGGTTAATTTACCTGGTCCCAGTTCAACACCTTATTGTCAGGCCTAGCCCAAGGAACTCCAAGAGACAATGCAAATTCAGTTCAGCTATGTTTATTAGCTACAACCTCTAGCAAGAATCTTCCCAGACTGAAACCCCAGTTCCCAAGTCAGCTAGCCACAACATTGTGAATTCCTCCGGGAGGTGCCAGTCTCATCCTCTTGCATCTCCCACGCTCCTCCGGCGAGCTAAGAAAATGTTTTTCTCCCTGATCCTGGCCTTCATAATTCCATTCCATCACACTTATCTGCTATACCACTCTTAGGGTCTTGAACTAATGTGGGGTATCATGGATTGATTGTTGAAAAATAAAGCATTACAGCCATACACTCAGATTTTTATTCTACATTTCCCTTGCCCTATCTAAATCATTCCTTTCTGAGTTTACTTAATTAACACAGTTGTTTATGAATAATTACTCCATGTTAAAACCTCTGCAATAAACAAATTATATGTATACACCCTCTATAGGTCTACAGCATATTTACTTAGAACTGGTATGTTTAGCCCATTTTTCCAAGTAACAAAGCAATATTTTATATAACCACTCTAAAATAAGCCTAAAGTCTAGTGAATTCAGTAAATATATACAGCACAATGCACAAAAAGGGTGTCCACAGTGGGGAGGTTTTTTTAAAAAAAGTCAAGATTGCAGCTGCAACCCATAATCAAGGTCCCCATTTTGACCCCCCCCCCCCCCCCCCGCATGCAGACAGCTCTAGTGTATAACCTGTAACCCAGGAACCATGCATAGCCTTACAGCTTTTTGTATGGCATTCAGCCTGCAATTCTTAGTAGAGCTATTAACATTAAAATTTAATTGTTTACGCTGGATAAAAAAGGAAGAGGATTAATGTGGGGATGGAATCAATTTATGAAAAAAATGGATGGATTTTAAGAAGAATTATGGTTTTGATTTGTCCTGTTTATGCTTTGACTACATCTATTTTCTCTTGCCTCGTGTATGAGTGGCCCCAACTATTTCACAAGACTCAGAAGCCCCAAAAGTTGTGTTTAGTGAGAGCAGAGTGATAGGACTACAATCCAGACATGTTCAGTTACTTTCTTTTTCTTTCTCTCTCCTATCAAGTACATTTGTACATGGGTACCAGGCATTTGTAAAGTAAGCAATGTATTATTCCAATCCCCTCCCCCCAAATCAAACTAAAATGAAACCCTTAACATTCAGTATAAAAGACATTAACCCCTCCCACTCACCCACGTGATTCCTTTGACTTGATAATCATGACCTGTGCAAATTCAAGAGATTAAGTTTTTCCTCTCATAGCATTAAAATATCTGGGTGACATATGTTTGTTTACCATGGAGCTGCCAAAGCCCCAGATCCCACCAGGTAAACTACCATTGCTGGTGATCCAGTTGTGAGGTTTAACGTGGTAGAGCACTTTTCTTGCTAATCCAAAGGGACTGCCTAGGGATCAGCAGAGATGAACCTACTTCACTGATCACTTTTGTTAGGAAGAATGCAGGAATCAGATGGAAGAGCTGCCCTGTCTGACCTATTGCCTGCGCAGTGGCACCGGCGTATTGGGGCCATCCTCTTGCCAAGCAACATTCTCCACTTGACGTCAGTAGGGTGTGGCGTGTGCATTGCCAGTGGCTCAGCCAGCTAGGCAAGTTGGTGGGCTGTCTCAGTTTCCACCAAGCTGTTCTGTAGCTGCTGTGAATGCAGAGTTTGCCCAGTAATAACACTTACCAGCTTACCATTTATCTAGCTCGTCACAATCAGATACTGTGAGGCAGGCCAATGTACAAAGGGAATTAATCCCCTGAAATTCAGTGAAACTGTGGCTGTTTCACAAGGAATGCTTAATTGTTTTTTGCCCGTCTCTAACTTGTTGGGTCAATTTAAAATCTACATTGATTAGAAAGTGTTTTTGTCGATTTCAAAAAGCCTCTCCCCCATTTCCTAGCCTGAATGCATAAGGCAGTGCAGGCTAAAAGCTTCCTAATGTCACTTGGAAAAAAACATTCTGCAGTCTTGCCTGTGGTGACAGAAGGGGGCAGTGGTAGAACAAAGAATAAACGCCACACTACTCTCCGGCCTCCTACGTCTCTACCAATAATATGGGGTGAGCTGTGCTGAATCAGGAAAAATACCCCTACATTTAACCCTACTTCCTGTTTCCAACCGTGTGGGGATCAGCTGATCTCTCTGGGAAGCCCACAAACATCACCTGTATTTGATTTTTGGTGGCGTAGCTGGCTCTAATCCAATAAAATCTCCCTCAAGTTGACCCTGATATCTGGTGGACACGTCCAATCATTTTGTTGACAATAATGTAGAAGTGGTTTGAGACTGCCTTCTTCTGACATTTTTGTTTACCTCCACAGTCTTCCGTTCGAATACTAACGAGATCCAGCCCTGCTTAGTTATTTGAGAACAGCCAAAATCAGCTAGTTGGATACTCTACGCTGCAGTACATTATGATGCCCTAACATTTGCTTCTTGTATCTGTTATAACTGGCGACACAAGCCTGTCTCTCTGGATTTTGCCTCTTAACACAGCTATTTGATTTATCTCCTACAGTGGCACAAACTTCTTCCAGATGAAAATAGCCCCATTTTTTCTTCTTGAACAATACTGGGGGTAATATGGGGATTAGAAAGCCAGCATGAACCCAGTAGACACTTCTGACAACATTTGTGAGGAAGTAAGTCCTCTTGGGGTCATTGGTACTTGCAATCTCATTAAATAATAAGATAAGGGTTCATATGCCACTGAAAGCAAAGGAATGGGACTTAGTTGCAATTTACTGAAATCCCATGATTTCCAGTAAAAAGCACACCCCATCCTATATATAGCTAACATAAAGTCAGTTTTATCAATATCCACTGGAATTACTTCGGGTAAATGCGTCTAATAATTGCATCCTTAACACTAACTGTTGTTGTGTCCCTAACCGAGAATTCAGATTTGTTGTAGCTAGCAGCTCACCAGAGGACTTAACTGTTGCTTCATACATTGGGAAAACTGTAGCTTCAGCATTTGACTGCAAGGACTCCAGGAGACATGAGGCTCTGCAAGCCACCTTCATCTAGGACTATGGCCATTCCTGATCTATAGCTGGTGTGTCTGTCACCTTCAAACCATACCTGGTGCCATCCACTGGAATGGCAGGTGTCAGTTGCCCCCGTGAAACCATTTATATAGTTCTATTCTCAGCAGGGGAGGGAGAAGCAGGGCGGTTTACTGCTTTGATGAGCAAACAAACACAAGTGATAGGAAAGGTAGAAAAACATCGTCCTGGGTGAAACTGGCATAGGCCCTGCCAGGGCTCCTCTGGTAATGATTAAACTATCTGCCCAGATTTCCCGGCAAGGTAGGCTGGCATTGACCCAGGTGGCACATATGCAAATTCCCTAGGCAGGAGTTGAGTACCTGTGCCTGGAATTTCCCTAGAGGCGGAGATCATGTTACGGGAGAGGCGCCCTATAAAGGCCCAGCTATGGGGAGGGGCTGAGTTATACTTGGGAGGGGATCACAAATACCAGGGCACAGGTGAGCAGGAGCTACTGAACACTCTCTGCTTCTTTTTCGCCTACTCCTGTGTGGATTAACTGCTGCTGCAGCACCTGCCTGGTAGGTACAAAAGGAAGATGGTAGCTTGGTTTCATGGGTGAGGGGAAGGATGGATGTGGAATAGCTACGTCTGCTTGGTATTCAGCTCGGTTTTTGTTCAGGATGTTGTTGCAGAGCCAAAGTGCATTTTATTTAGCTCTGTATCTGATGCCAATATAGAGACAGCCCTGCCCTATCCCACAAGCTTCAGAGAAGATACTAAGAGCATGATCAGCTCATGAGCTTACCGGTGTATCTGACAGCCTGGTGTTGGAACCTAAATGCCGGCTCAGAGGATCTTTTGCCCTTCTCTGGCCAGTCAGTTTTTCTGTTTCTATGGACTCAGATGATGCTTCCAGACAGGATTTTTTTTCCACACTACTATCAGCCTCTCTGATTCATGGAAATGTATTGAGGAGGTAGAGACTGACACCTTTTCCTTGTAACCCTCCTATATTTTCCCATTGGTTTTTCTTTTTCTTTTTTTTTTGGGGGGGGTGACAAAAATGACGGAATAGCTGCAAATATATTTTGATGGTTAGGTTCAGAAGTATCTAGAAAAGCTAAACATCAAGGGGTTTAGTGTAATGTTGTCAAGCAATTTGCAACTTTCTGACAAAGGAAGGATAGGTTATGGCTGGTTTTCTCTGGAAATTTTCTATATTTTTCTTCTATACCAGTTTTGCTCTACAGATCTATAGGGATGGGCTCCCATCTCACCTGGAGCACTTAAAGTCTATAAGTAAGATGAAGGGTGGGAGAGAGGTCAGCCAGTGATGAATGATAATGCCTGAAAAGTTTCAAGTTAGGTGAGCAAAATTCTTTTCAGAGAAAGCAGAATCTTTTCTCAGAGAGATAGAAAATGATTTGAATTTTGTAAGAGGATTGTTGAATGCATGCTGCCTGATAACAAAAGAGGCACCATGCTGTAGCCTGTACCTAGCTTAGAGGTTATTTTTAACGGAATGTGGGCTAAACCTTCATATACATATAAATGAAGGTAGAGGCACCTCCATCACAAAAAAATGCAGGCTTTGAAGGTTCATATTAGTAAAGAACTGCTTTACTTTTGAAGTAATATTATTTTCCCATCTCTCTTTTACATTGTTGCTGTCTTAGCGAAATCTAGCGATCAGGGATGGGGGTGGGATGGGAAATGCAAGTATAAAGTTATTTCTGTGGCTTCTCCAAGCAAAAAAGTTAGAACACTGGTAAAATGAGAGTTGGGATATATTTGGATTTGTTGACAGACCTCTTTGTCTAGAATATTGTCCTTCTGTGGGAAGGCTTCCCCTTGGATATTCATGGGAAGATCCCACCCATTACGGTAGCCATTCCCTACTTGGTGATTTCTAAAATTGCTTGATTACGGTTCTACTCAGTTGGAATGGAATATGATGGGCATTGTGGTCAATCTTACCTAGAGGGTACTAGTTTGGGTGAGACTGTGCAAGGACTTGAAATACTGCAGAAAATATGAAGAACAACTAGGAACCAGGAGTTACTATTGCAAAACAAATATATGCAAAATGTTAAAGAAGAAAAAAAACTGCATGTGACCAATGGCCCACTTTCTTTCTTTCTTTCTTTCTTTCTTTCTTTCTTTCTTTCTTTCTTTCTTTCTTTCTTTCTTT